CGCATACGTCGCTCCGTCCGTCGCCTGATGCTTTTCTGAAGTTCTTTTTCCTCTCTCGTTCCTTTGCTATATCCATGTAGTACTTACACTTACTCACGAAAACACCGTTAATTACGATTAGTCGAATACGTGATGATCGCGGGACACTTTGCACGACTTTCCCAATCGCGGAACAATTGCATACACAGCGCTTCGATAAAAATTTATCATCGTGATACAGTTTTGTGTCGTTTTTCAAAAGTTAGTTGGTCATTAATTTTGTAATAATCATAACGAATTATGCTTTAATATTAGTCACAATCGCGTTTAGAGGAAGAATTCAACGATATACGAAGCGTTTCTTACTACTACTTCAATGTTCGAGTGTCGGCGTGCGAATGATAACAAAGCCGTAATATGTAAATAATGGCGCGCTGTACATCACCAAGACCGAACATCTTGTTATTGATAATATATATAATATGTTGCCAAAATATTTCACGTACTATGACGTATATATATACGCGAAAACTTATATTATATAAGTATTTTAAACTATAGAATAATTATTTATTAATCGATAGATGTGTACCACGAAACTTTTCGTTAAATTAATTACTTGATCCTGCGATTCGATTATTTAATTGTGCGTTCCCAATGTGATTCATATTTAGATCGTCGAAGAGTCGGACAATAAAATATCAGAAAAAATATATTTAACTTTATATTTAATTTAAATTTAATTTAAATTTAACTTATATTTAAATAAATATTATTAAAGAAATAATTATTGCTAATAAAGGGGGATAGCAACAAAATGATAATTTATTATTTGGGACTTCTGTCATTATACGTTTCTCTTAAATAAATGGAATAAAATTTAATTAAAATTAAAAAAATAAATTACGCGAAATACGCGTTTCAAAATTTATCGTCGCGATATAATTAACGTATTATTTAAGGTATGCAAAAGATTATTAATTATTTATCATATCAAATTATTTCCTGATACTTGATTTCACGATCGCGTTTCGAAAAAGAATTTGACGGAGTGTCTCGCACTCTACTGCCTTACTGTTTGAGTGTCGCCGTGTGAATGATAAGATCGTAAATCGTAACACGTTAACAATAGCGTGCTAATGTATACATTGCCAAGGCCGCATACCATGTTATTGATAATTCGCAGCCGAAATTACTTGCGTATTATGACGTATATATAAGCGGAATATTATATTATACAAATATTTTAAATTATAAATCAATTATTTAATAAACGATTAATATATCACGGAGCTTATTGTTATGTTAATTACTCGAACTTGCGATTCGACTATTTTATTGCGCGTTCCCAATGTAAATCATAATTAGATCGTCGAAGAGTCGGGCGATAAAAAGTACCGGAAGAAATATATTTAACTTTATAGTATTTAATTTAAATTTAATTTAAATTTAAATTATATTTGAATAAATATTATTAAAGAAATAATTATTGCTCATGAAGAGAAATAGCAACAAAACGATAATTTATTATTTTAGACTTCTGTCACTACGTTTTGAATAAATGAAATAAAATTTAATAAAATTGAATAAATAAATTACGCAAAATACGCGCTTCGAAATTTATCGTTGCGATATAATTAACATATGACTTAACGTATTTAAAAGAATTAATCATATTAATTATATCAAATTATTCCCCCATAGTTGGCACGTGTGAAAAAGGAATTTGACGGAGCGTCTTCGCATCACTACCTTTCTGTTCGAGTATCGGCGTGCGAATGACAACAAGGCCGTAATATGTAAATAATAGCGCGCTATACGTCACCAAGACCGAACATCTTGTTATTGATAATATATATAATATGTCGCCGAAATATTTCACGTACTATGACGTATATATATACGCGGAAACTTATATTATATAAGTATTTTAAATTATAGATTAATTATTTATTAATCGATAGATGTGTACCACGAAACTTTTCGTTAAGTTAATTACTTGATCCTGCGACTCGATTATTTAATTGTGCGTTCCCAATGTGAATCATATTTAGATCGTCGAAGAGTCGGACAATAAAATACCAGAAAAAATATATTTAACTTTATATTTAATTTAAATTAAATTTAAATTTAACTTATATTTAAATAAATATTATTAAAGAAATAATTATTGCTAATAAAGGGGGATAGCAACAAAATGATAATTTATTATTTGGGACTTCTGTCATTATACGTTTCTCTTAAATAAATGGAATAAAATTTAATTAAAATTAAAAAAATAAATTACGCGAAATACGCGTTTTGAGATTTATTGTCGCGATATAATTAACGTATTATTTAAGGTATGCAAAAGATTATTAATTATTTATCATATCAAATTATTTCCTGATACTTGATTTCACGATCGCGTTTCGAAAACTATTTTATTGCGCGTTCTCAATCCGAATTATATTTAAATCGTCGAAAAGTCAAACAATAAAGCATGGGACAAAAGACAAGAAATTTTATAAAAATTTTTATATATTCGATAAATGCACTCCGATATTATTTTAGCTCCAAAGCGTTCGGTAGACAAATGAGGGCGAAAAATTTTGTTCTTCGAGCGAAAATAGTGTTAAGCGAAGCAGTATTTATTTTTATGTTTATTTTCAAAAGACTTGTATTTATTATCTTATCGTTTTAATGATTTATATTTATATATAAATTATGCTTATATAAATTTATATATAATAGCTTTCTCAGCTATATATATAATAAAACATTAATAAATCCGTAATATTTCTCCGCAATTTTGATCCATAATTATGGATCTAGCACACACATACACCAACCGATTGTTTTATCGTGGCACCGAAAAGTTAATCTGGCTATATAGTTCTGCTGGCTCTAAAATGGATCTAGTTGACGCTACTATAGCTAGGAAAAGTGTCTTATGAAAAACGGCGGCGTGACCCCTCTCAGGCTTCTCTCTATTAATCACATTATCCTTAGGATAATGTTTCATTTATCGGATGCAAACATACTAATTTTATACTTTTGGTATCCTTTATACGATAACCAATCATGTTCAATAAATTCATTGAATCATAGACATATAAAATAGACGAGCATTAGCTGCCGATATGAGTAAAGGGAGTTGAGAGATAAACGGCATGACTTAAAAAAATTCTATCAAAGATAAGTCTTTCATTGACATGGAATAGAAAAATTAAACTATTTTCATTAAACTATAATAAATTATACAAATAATATAAAAATTACTTTTGCAGTTTTATCATTTTTCGTCAATCACTTTTGATCTACAATTTATTTATTTATTTATAGTACAGACATATATCAAATCATGATTTTTTATCAACAAAATTCGACAAATAATTGTGACTATATAATTTTACGCATCGCTTTGAATGTTGATAGCGATATTAAAAGTGGCTTGGCGTTCCAAAAACGCCGAGATGTGACCATTTTTCTGATCGTATGATAAACGTATCAGCTTCCTAATGAAAAATTTTGCCATAATCTTTTGTGAAATTTTTCATTTTTTACGTTTTTGCCTCTAAGAAAAATTTATATGATCGCCAGTCTGATTAGATGTTCTTTATTGACTTTATATTGGTTCCCAACTTGACGCTAAAGTTTGCATCAATACGTATAGTAATTTTCGATAATATTCTTAAATAATTTTTTACGAGATACGCTTGACTGTGAGCCAATTTTGATTGGATGATATAGTTTGTATCTGCTAATAAAGCGATGCTAATAAACTAATCATTAAAATATCGTTTATAAACAGTAATATTTATTTTTATATATTTCTTAAAATCGAGCAGAGTTTTATATAATTATTTTGCTTTTTTAATATTCTATAAGAAACATGTTGAGTTTATTGAATGTATTATCAATCTTAAGAAAATTATATCTATATCTTAATTATATCTATCTATCTTATATTTATAAACTTATAATTATATATATTTCTTTATTTTGTCTGTTTAATATTAAAAATAAGTATAATAATCAGCAATTTGTTAGTTATTTATTTTTATATTAGTTCATGTAAATATTTAAGAAAAATGCTTAATTTATATTAATATTATTACAATTTTTGTTGTCTTTTTTGTTGAAAATAATCTTGCCTTAAATTCTCATTGATTATTTGTCCAACTTTCATTCTGAACCATACAGGTAATGTTAATGTTATGAATTTCTGAATACTATGTGCCCAGTATCCAGTACTGTTATCCATTTTACCAAGAATGGCGATGGCATTTCTTGCATAAGTTGTGGCATCAGGCACAAATATACTTGAAACCTGCAATTTTTAATAAAATATATGTACATCAAAATTTTAATGATTTATTAAAATAAAAAAAAAAACATGTATTTTTGAAACAAGCAGCTAAAAATTAAAAAATGTTTTTTTTTAAAGAAGTAATTTAGTATAATAAAGATAAAAAACATTTTTTTTTATTTCTAATAAAAGCACACTTTGCTTTTATTTTATATTTTAAATTCACATATATTTGCTGCTTGATTGAAATAACTAATTCCTTTGCAAGTATTTAAATAAATTTTTTAATAAAAAAAATAGTTTTTTGTTTTAGTACATTTTTTCTACATAGGGGAGGGGGGGCATTTTCGTACAAAAATTTAAAAAATTTTAATTACTGTAATATTTCATTTTTATTTTAATAATGGTTCAAGTACCTGAAGTCTATGGCTAAATGCGTTCATTTTGGTATTGACGAAAAGAGGTGACAGATGGTGAACGGTTATGCCGTGTTTAGAGTATTCCGCCCTGAGTGCATCAGAAAAGCTCTTCACGTACGCTTTTGTGGCGGCGTATACCGTCATTAATGGCAATGGTTGAAACTCAGATCCGGAAGAGACATTGACAATCGCGCCTCGTCCACGTTTCTGCATCTCTCCGATAACTAGCCGTGTCATTAACGTAGTCGCACCCACGTTCACATTGATAATATCCCACAATTCCATCTCAGGCACCTCTCCAACGTACATGGGATATTCATATTGCTTACCCACATTATTAACTTAAATAAAATATATTATTGAGATATTATTCAACTCTATTCTATTGTGAATCAAATGAAGTGTTATTTGACAACCGTTTATAAACAATATTATTATGACCATTCTTTTTTATGTGTATATTTTATCGCACTCATATTGTATCTACACTCTGTTCTATGAGAGAATTCTCTGACAGTTAAATTGGCAAAGAAAATAAGATTTGCACACATTTAATATAGCCATTACTTAATAGCCACGGATACTTGTGCTAATACAAGCTACCTATTCAATTCAAATAAGCTCACGTGCATTCACACAAATGCATCTGCTTATGACGAAAATTTATTTTCTTATAGAATGAAATATGTATATACGAAAAAAAACCCACTAAAACTTTATTAACTATTCATGAATAAATAAAATAAGATAGCACGATTGACCACTTAAAAAAAAAAAAAAAAAAAAAAATTTCCGGGAAAAAATAGATTTTATATAATTATATAAGATCATATACATGGATACACGATAGTTAAATAATTAAAATTAAAAATAAGTTTAATTTTACCTAGTATACCGACCGATATATCTTGCAACTGAGAACGAATCTTGATAAAAGCATTTTCTCCTTCAGTAAAATCCGCCGTTATAACTTTAACTTCGATTTTTGGATTTATTAGTAGTATTTCTTCTTTCGTCGATTCAAGTTTTTCTAAATTTCTGCTAATTAGAATCAAATTTATATTTCTTATTGCTAACTCTTTAGCATAAGCTTTGCCAATACCGTCAGTTGAGCCAGTGACAACTGAAATATTTAAGCTCACAATTTATCTTTATATAACATGCAATTAATAAAAAATTTTATATAGTTATATAATCAACTTGTTTTTTATGAAATTATCTTTGTTCTTGCTTTTCTCTTTCGTCATCCAGAAACATATATATACAAAATGATAAGTTAGAAGATGTTAGAATTAAAGTTTACACAAAGATTATAATATATCACAATACAGTTTCAACTTAAAAAACATACAATTTTTTTACAAGATATCTAAGAAATAATTTATCATACTTACCAGCCCATTCGCCAAATTTTGTTCGCAAATCGACTGACTTTTTATCATATATCTGTATGATAATTTCCCATAGAGTACGCAGAACTTTCGTAGCTGGTCCAAGAAGAATCCAAAAAGCAATTAAGCTGACTAACAACCAAAATGCTATTGACATTAGCATCTTTTCTTGTTACTTCGTATTCATACACCGTATAATTATCTCTTTTTTATAAGAATGCTAAAACAAAATCATATAAAAAATAGCTTTCCATTATATAAAATTTAAAACTATTTTTTTCAAGCTTAAACTGGATGTCTTTTACAATATTAATAGCTAATAATATATTACAATATTAATAATATCGGGAGGGTTCTTGCGCTTATCAATGAAACGATCGCCCACAGCGTCATTTATTTACATCGCATTGCCGATAATCTCGATATACATACAATAAAATCATGCATGCAATGTGTTTTAGATTTATATTAGAATTTATTACTTAATAATGCTGATAAGCACAATTGCTCTGTGTGCAACTGGAACTATCAAAATATGACAATACGATGTAGAAAATACGAAATCATTAGCAATCGTTTTTTCGAAACAGAACTTTCACTAATAATAAATAACTGCTAAAAAATTACCTTTTTTTAAAAAAAGTAAAAAAAGGCGCCAAGTGCACGCGCACAAGCGCCTTTTGCTATAAAAAAAACTTATATCGTACAAGATTCGGGCATGCGCATTGGGGACTTGCGTGAATGATGATGATGATGACGTGGACGTTTCTTACATGAAAATTTTCACATTGAGACTTTTGCATTCATATATCTCCGTTCACGATACATGTAGAAAAAAAATAAAGATACTTTTATTATATAATTTAAACCCAAGCTATCGATTAAGCTTATAAAAAATACGATCCGTTCAGCCGTTATTGAGGCCCAATAATCTAACTCAATAGCCGACTCGCGTATAGATACCCGGAGTGCCTCGCTATTGCTACGCGTGACTTGGCGCGAGACACTACCGTGTCTCTTGATAAATAATTTTTTCCATTCATATTTTTGAATATATTACTTTTATCACTGTTAATTTTTTAGATCTGCAACACAAGTTATAAAACACACTTAACATATTAAATTTTAATTTTTTACTACGGAGTCGCCATCTGAGAAGACGTTGCATCTGCGAGACTTAAGGTTTTACCACGTGAGAATGCCCGGTGAGAAATGATAGATCAGAAAGACGGCTATAAATATTTATAGACGTCTATAAACATCTATAGACGTCTATAGATATTTATAGACGTCTAATAGATGTTTTTTTCGCAATCTGTATTTCTCACTGGAATGTTACTTAATTAAATTAAATATTTTGGTTAGAGTTACAAAAGTAATCGGCTACTCTTTTTAACGGTACCTTTTAACAGCACATTTGTCTTATCTATCTCTGCTGCTTCATTTCTTCCCTTATGGTCCTATTTACTTTTATTTACTATTTATTTATTTTGTTGATGCCGATCGTTTTCGCGTACCGAATGTTCAAAGAAGGAGGGTCGAAGTGAAACTAAACGTCATTTCGCTCGGGTGATTGTACAGAAGGCCAAGTCGAGAAGTCACGGCACTTTCTCCATCTGCTGAGAATCTCGTACCGCTATATACATGCAATCGTTTGCTTTCGTGGTCCAAACTGTACAAAAAGTTCTGATTTTTATATTTGATTTTTATACATATCATAAGTGATTTATCAATATGAAGGCTAAGATTAGCGTTTTTTTTTTGTTATACAATGGAATTTTATGCTTATAATCAGAAAATTATCTGAAGCTGAAAAATCTTTTTAAATTCGTTTTGTAGCCTATATATAACAGAAGCAATCTCGTTAATGATTGGACATTCACTTGTGATTATCGTGGCATGTAGATACATTGTTAGGCAATGATAGATAATCTCATCGATCCTGGCTCCTCTAAAACCTCTACTTTTATGAATATAGCTGACGGCATCTATATTTAAATGACAGCTTCTTCGATCAATTTGAAATTGATTTATTTTTAACAGAAATATCGATTATCATTTATTGTAAATTCATCATTTATTTTTTTCGCTTTTTATACAGCTGACTAAATTTTATATTAAAATTCCATTAAATTTTTGAAATTAGTTGAAAAATGTAATTTTGTCATCCATTTAGTTTCTCAAATTTATTCGCAAGAAATCCATCTTAGTGGCTCGACATTTTCACTAATTGTAAAAAATCATATTTTGACTAAAGAATCTATCATTAAAACTCGTAGTTTTCAGATACTTGTGTACAATAAAGCCTGTCTTATCTTTTTCATAAATAAAATAGAAAGTCATTTCAGGAATACATAAAAGAAAGTAATACGGTGTATTAAAAAATTGTTCTTTCTCGTTTCCATCTTGTATAACTCGACGAGCTCTTTTCAGTGGTGTCATTCAATCGCGCTTCAGCTATAGCTCATCGTCAGTCATGCCTCTACCGATATCGATGAAATTTTTTTTATTTAAAAGAGCATTAAGTTTGCTACAATAATTTTTTTATGTTTTCAAAATTTGCCTCTTTGATTATGTTATAGTCCTAAAATCTTAAAAAAGTATACTTTCTTTGCTGTGGCGCATAATTCATCATATTTACAGATATTGCTATAATTATCATTAGTTCTAAAACAAAAAAAAATTATTCATATCGGCCATTCTACTTAAGAGATAGCAGCAGCTGAACGATAAATTATATCTAAATTATGAGGCTATGTACGTTTAAATGCGGAGTAGTACGAAAGCACCACGCGAATGCAAAATGTTTGCGGCGTTACTCTCCAGTTGTCGATTGGAAATGCAGTGATATGGACATTATATGTCACTTTTGTGATAACCCAAGTCAGCTTGATGGAATCAGTCGACGAGAAACAGGAAACTTCGGTGTTAAAAATAATAAACATGTTTGGAAAACAAAGTAAGTTCTGCTGACATAGCTTGACAGTTTCGCAAGAAGTCGCAACTTCTGACATTATTTGGATTAAGAAGCCTCAAATTACATCGGATGGCAGTAGTTTCACCATTGCTATCTCTACTTGTAAAGAACTTAATAAAATCATCAAAAATTTGATCTAATAACAACTTTCAACGTTCAAATATTAGAGCCATTTGCGAGCAATGTTTGCTGAAAGTGATATTTTGTCGCAGGAATAAATTTTGTATTATGTTAGTTATCATTTCATTCTTATGATTATATTTCTGCAAACAATTGCACAGTTGTTATTCTTATTACTTCATGCAATGTTGTGGAATGTCAAAGTTGAACAATTATATCTCTTGAACGGTATAGCCGATTTAAATAAACTTTTTTTGTTTTAAAGCTAATGGTAATTTTAGCAATATCTGTAAATATAATTTTTGACAGATAGTGAGCCACAGCAAAAAAAAAAAAGGTGTATTTTTTGAAGATTTTAGGGCTATAACGTGATCAAGGAGGCAAATTTCGAAAAAGTGAAAAAAATTATTGTAGCAAATTTAATGTTCTTTCAAATAAAAAAATCCGTCAAAATCAATAAAGATATGACTGAGCTATAGCTGAAACGCGATTTCTGCTCTATATTGCCTTATCTCCTTTACTATGATGCGCTTTGTGGAATGAATAGCACCGTTGAGAAGAGCTCGTCGAGTTGTATAAGATGGAAGCAAGAAAGAAAAATTTTGCAGTACACCGTAGCAGTTACCTCCTCCCATATATTCTTGAAATGACAGAGATAAACCAATAACTATATATCATCACTTTTAAAATGTAAAATAGTGATGGCACTGATGCTTTAGTGTAAATTACGTAACAAGAATTACATTATAGCGCGTTTAATTGTTTGTACAACAGAAAAGTATTTTCAAAAAAGATCCTCGTATATGACATAAAAGTGAAAGCAAGGCGCATAAACCGCGAAGAGATGGAAATGTCAGTGATAATCTGTCAAAGCGCAAGATGCAAGTAGACGGTACAATTAAGACGATGTGAAATACGATTTAGCTGTGTAAAAAAGATTTGAGACAGATGCAATTATTTTCTTTCATTTGAATAAATTATTCAATCGCTTTAAGAAAAAGCATTTCATGGCTCGTTAACGTTAAAATATATATATGTTGATCATCGTTAATAAATTTTTCATGAGGTTTGTTACGAGGTCAGATAGTCAGAAGAGCTGATCAATTATGCATTATATGATTTTACATTATGTGGCTTTTGGTTTCTTTGAGTATACATACGAACGATGGAAGGTGGGGAAGTCCGTGGAGATATGAAGCCTGGTTAGAGGAAGACTAACTGATCCGGGACAACCGAAAAGAGAATGAGGACGGAAGAGCAGAGGCGCGCGCAGCGTCTTTCACTTCACACACATTCTCGTTTCATTCCTGAGGGCTTACCAAGCGACCTAAGACGATCGCTGACTGCTATTCGGATTGGTTGCTTGACCACTCCGTTCTTTTTACGGTGATACGGTGCATCTGTTGATGTGTTTCGCATTGTCGAACGCGAATCCACTTTGTCGCTATCGTTCTTTCCGCTCGAAGTTTCGGGAAAGGTGAAACAAAAAGTGTCTTTTGGAAGAATTCTAATCCAAATTCTTTTTTTGTTTGGGAGAGATTACCTGTGTTAATCTATCGGCGTTCCGCTATTTTTGGAAGATCGACATCTTTATGAAATTTTGAAGAACGTTCCGAGGCGTGCTCCGAAGGATCTGCAAATTTGCTCCGATTTGGGGGTCGCTCTATCTATCTGATCGACTCGTGGATCGAGCTAAATTATGAAAAAAGTAAGTCAAATATGTTATTACATAGACAGGAAGATATTATTATAATACAAATCATTTTAATTAAAATTCCTATTATATTATATGTGGTGCACAAAATTTTGGAGTAATTGCAATAATGTCCTGCATGATTTTTGACCCGGTTTAAAGCACGTGAGTGCATTCACGCAATTCTCCAAAGCGGATCTAAAACCTTTATCTGATCATCTGTCCGACAACTGGCAGCATTCTAGTCTTGATTGCCGAAAGACAGTTTTTAGGAGTGAAAAAAGTCGCCGCGGTCGGTTTCGAGCAGTGTGGTTATTTAAGAGTGACTATAATGCTTAAAATTAAGATACCGGCTTTTGCGCGAATCATATTTCTTTATAATGATTCAATCAATTTAACTCGTTGTGCCGATTATTCTTTATTATATTTCCATTTTGTATCTCCATTTTGATATATCTGCGTGACACGTGATAATCTGCATATATTTTCTATATTTATCAGGCGATTATCCTTCGTTTTTTTTTCAACAAAAGATCAATTGGCTGCGTTTGTTATTTATGGCATTTAACAACGTTTTCGAGTGGAGCAACATATATTCGATCGAAATTAAGTTTTAAATTTGATTAATATAAATAAGTATATCCCTAGTAACCCAAGGCAGTGTTTATGACGTCATTAATCGCTCTCAGAGCGATCAAATTTGCTTCATTTGAAAACGCTAAAAGTAGCATTACGTTTTATTGACATTCTAGATAAGATTGCTTATGTCTCACAATAAGTAGTGATAAGCTCGATAATATTTAAGTAGTGATAAGATTAATTAAATATATCATTGACATCATTTTCTTCATTCTCTCTTTTAATAAAAAAAAAGAGCGAATAATGATATCTTTTAAAAAATCTATTTTTTTTTCTTGCCAAATTTCTTGTGTGAAAAGGTATGAATAAATTTGTGTCCAAAGAAGATAAAAATTTTCAATAGCGATTCTGAATGCTATACAATTGCTGCCTACTTTTATAATACGATTTTTATAAGAATAAACATGCATATCAAAGAGAAGATATTGTCTGCATTGTAGTATGATTGCATTTGCGTTTCTCTTGTGCTATGACCGTAACATTGGTCTAGAAAGTTACATTGCAACTCATTTCTTATTTCCTGTATCAAAGAAAAGAAAATGCGACGAATTAATAATGTAAACCAAAAATATAATGAAATGAAAAAGTTATAAAAAAAGGAAGAAAGAAATATTTTGCAACGCAATGTATGTCATTATGAAAATAACTAGTTAAATAAATAAAAATATATCATTTTATCATGTATCTCTCAGATATTTTTAATAACAATTACGCTATCTCTTATAATATCACTAATTATGTACAAAATTAGTTTGAAAATTAATCTGAAAAAACTACTACGATTAAATATCGATATTTGTTAGTATTTGCTTCATCTCCTGTTCTAAGTAAATCAGGTTTTCATATCCATGCATCGATGATTGCAGCCACCTATTTACATTTATTACTAACGATTAGCAATAAGCATCGTACTCATTTCTTTGACATTTTATGATAAAACGTTATGCTAGATCTGAAATCTTTCTGACTATAAATATTTTTCTCTATTTAATAACGGATAGCAATAAATAATTTACTTTAATTGTTTATAATTGTACAGTTGTGTCAATAAGGCTTATGTCTTTGAAACATTTTATAAATTTTTAAAATTTTTATATTACCATGATATATAAATATATGAAAATCTGGATTATCTTATCGCGCGCGCATTGTGAAAATCTCTGAAGTTATCTCATACATTCGTCATAAAAAATCAATAATTTAATCATAATTAGCGTATTTTCCCATATCAATTACATGTATTTATGTTTAATCGATAAGAACATAGAGAAAATATAACATTGAAACTTTATATTATAATTTTGCAATAATATGCTCTTATGAAATAAAAAACTGTATAAAATAGTTCTGTTTTCTTTGCAGAATCAGATTTTTACAATCTGTACGATATTTTGCAAAGAAGTTCAATGCCCGCGGTGAGCAAAGAAAAACGATGGCAGGATGTCGAGTGTGGAGGATAATTTTAGTCGTTATCATTATGTGGGAAACGACCACAAACGCAAACAGTGCGAACGTCGCGCAAATCACTGCAAATAAAGATGACAGGAAATCGTTGGAGCCGAATAAATACATTTATTCGTGGACAGGACCAAACGCTTTGGCCAGATCGGCCTTGGTAGAGCGACAGGAAAGATTGCAGTATAATTGTGAGCTCGAAAGTAACGAGGCAGATATCGATGAGTTAAATCCAGAATTATTCAGAAATATTCTTGTGGATGATTTGCACGAATTGCTCTATTGCTATGTTCCCAAGGTGCTAAATTTACTGCCTTATTTTTCATTAAGATTATCTGTAACAATTTGTGGAAATAATAATACCGATTAAATCAGAGATTCTGCTTATATTTAAGGAAAAATGTTAAAGTTATTTTTTCGTATGTGTATTCTAAAATGAAACAATTTTATCTTTCAGGTAGCTTGTACAAATTGGAAGCGCGTACTAATGATCGCGACCGGAAAATGGTCCGGTAATGATCCTTTAAAAATACCGGCCGATCAAGCTCATTCCCCGGGTACTTTTCAACGATTGAGCAATTACACATTGCCCGAGATAGAGAAGAAATTGGCGACGTATGATAAGCTGATTGTCGTGCGACATCCGCTGGAAAGGCTTTTATCAGCTTATCGAAATAAATTCGAGACTAAACACGAGAAAAGTGCAAAATATTTCCAGAGCCGTTTCGGCAAGAAAATCATCAAAGTAAAGAACAAGTTTTTTTTTAATCTAATACTTTTTTTTTTTGCAGTATATATGAATTAAGAGTATTACATATAAAAGTGAACATATTGCGCGAATGTATGTAGAAAAATAACTTTACATTACGTAAAGTTATTCCGCAAGTTGCGTGAATGCAAAAGAATCTGGCATTATAAGAGAGTTAAATGCTTATTTCTTCAGAAATTTCATCACATTTAGAAGTACCGTATAATTGCAGACTCCTAGAATATGATTATGTAATTAATTGTGCAGGCTGTCCCACTTTTATTGTATTAACCGTTAATGGTTAATTCCATATGCAAATGAAATAAGCTTAATATCAAGGCATAAATGGCTTTTAACTACATTAATAATATTTTTACTTATAGAAATACAGATCGAATGCCACCGAAGATTCTTTAAAGAACGGTGATGATGTGACGTTTCGCGAGTTTGTCGATTTCGTCACCGATGATTCCGAGAATGGAACTCGAAATGAACATTGGAGACCAATATACGAGTTGTGCCAACCATGTATAGTTAATTACAATCTCATAAGTAAATACGAGAGCTTGGTCGAAGATGCCACAGAAGTTCTCGAACGGATAGGCATCACGTCTATGAAGTAAGTACACGTGATAACAAAGTAATAAAAATAAAAATTTTTAAATATCAGAGTTGCACATCTTACTGAAAAATAATTATCTGTGCAGTTTTCCAGCTAAGCCATCAAGCAGCGAACCGACATCGAGAAAATTGGATAGATATTACTCTACTTTAAGTTACAAGCAGCTTCGTAAACTGGCAGATCTGTACAAATTAGACTTAAGGTTGTTCGACTACTCTTTGGAGGATGTGTTGGGATTTTCTTTGGCTTAAGTCGTCCGTATTAACAGAGACAGATGTACGTGATATACAAATTTACTGTCAGATCACTAATCTGTATTTAAAACCTACGTAATCTAAGTATACAAGACAGTTTTACATGCATTAAGACAAATAATTATTACTGCATTTTATAAATGTATATAAAGTTCTAAAATCTCAGATTTCAATTTTATCGACAATCTCTTTGAATGGATCTTTAATAGAATGGAGACATTTTTTTTTATATAGATGATATATTGTTGCTACCTCATATTATAGCAATTGTACTATATAAAATTCTATTTTAAATCAATAATTTATAAGAAAAATATATATATATAAATGTTGCATGCACATCTTATTTTTACATTTTTTAAATGACTTTTTTTATATATTAAGATAACTCAGTATTATTGATATAGCCGAGCAATCAAAATTGAGATATATAACAAATTCTGAGATATAGATAAAGATAAATAAAGCTGTGTTAAATAAGTGATTGAATAATTATAAACTGTTTTATAAGCTCTGAAATATGAGTTATACATGCAATTTTGTGCCAAAAGAATTTAACGATAATTAAATTAAAGAGAATAAAAGAATCTGTGTTTTGTTTGTGCCAAGAGAGAATTACTATCGACTTCTTAAGTCGAGTTTCATAAAAATCATATGAAACATATGTCTCGCTATTTTTATATTAACATGTAATTTATAGAACAAAATCTTATCTTAGAATATTCCCTATTTATATGCACATTTCCTAAATACATAAAATGTTCGCTTTACTATTTTTGTAATGTGCAGTGTGTCATATCGTATTTAAAGCTATTGCTTTGAACGCAGCCATATTTGCGTGCCTATGCATATTATACGACAGAATATGTATTAGTGTTTATTATGAAATTCTATATGAGATTTTCTATTCAGAAAGTTCGTAAAGATCAGAAACTATATAGTTACCAATCAATCAATTATTTGTTATAGATAAAAGTGTATATATATATATATATATATATA